CGCAGCGATTGATGGTTGTTGCTGGCTTTGTAGATTTGGCATTTTCATGCTGCATGTAAACGCCGTATTTACTTAAAATGGGCGTGTGAAACCCGGTCGCCCTTGGTGATGATATGTTGGTCTTTAGAGATTTTCTGCAGTCGCTGTCTGCTTGCGATTATTTATTGCTACACAACGAGTTTTGATTTAGTTTCATATAAAAAGCAATAAATCAGGAAAAACGTGTGGGATTGTAGTAGTGAAGAATGAATTTATGAATTTAAAGATGGTACTTTTAAATAGCGACACATCTCAAAAACCGAAACTTTGCTACTTTTAAGGTCCTCATGTCTCTAATCGTTACTAAAATATGTAGGTTAAAAACTACGTAAAACAACATTTCAACCAACACTTCCAAATACATTATTTTTTAAAGAAGCTTTGTTGCTTTCAGCGGTAAAGATTTTTTAATTTTATTAACACAGAAAGCCCGCCACGCTTTTAATAACTGCATATACATAAATCTACAGTACCTTATTCATAGATACACTGAAAAATAATCCAAGTAGTGCTAATTTTAACTTAGAAAACACAAAACTTTATATATGTACATATTTAAATATTTTATAAAATGGTTGCGAATTGTGTACGAGAATCATGTGAACGAAATTATTATTTACTGAATTCAATATTTCCCAAACAGCCCATAAAGCAACATCTTCTTTTCTTTGCATACTTTCAGGCATTGCCATTACAAATCAACAAAACATTATCAAGCCGCAAAGTTTCCATCCCCAACAAGTCACAGACAAAGACAGTCAAACTGTCGGCGCATACGCCCCCGCGGCGCCATCCAAAGGATGGAGCATATCAACAGCGCAACGCGTAACAAGCAGCAGCAGCAATACGCACACAGATGACAATAAGCTGCGTGCATCACAGCAGCTAAGCGCTGCCGTTGATGAGCAGCAACAACAACAACAACAAACACAACATAAATGTGCCAAATTTAGCTGTGCAACCGCCGCCGCTACCAGTACAAATCCAGCCGTGGAAGCGCACTCACCATACTCCGCCACTCTTTCCTCCTCGTACATTGCAACAACATCTACAGCGAACAACGCTCAGTCTTTTATGGCGTATGCTGAAAAAAGCAGCCAAGCAACAAAATCAAACTACAACTACAACAATTATAAACAAACGCAAGTTGAACAACAACCATCCCAATTGCCTTCATCGCGCACGCGCTCAATCGCATCGGAAGCGCCGGCGTCACGTTTAAGCGAAACGCTTACAGCGCATGCGTACGCAGACCTACCGGCTGACTCATATGGGCGCAAAGAGGATAGCAGGCGAAAGAAGAAGCTAACATCAATGCCGTTCACGACAAAGGTAGCGTCAGCGGTGGCGAAGGCAAAGTTGACAAAGCTATCGAAAGTCAAAGAGCACCAGAAAGTGCATGTGGCTCATAGAAATCAACACAAGGAAGTGCGGCGACACCGCGCAGCGGCGGACGTTGAGTTTTGGAGAGCTCATGAAAGCGCGCAACATATCCGTTGGGCACACGAAACGAGCGCGGCTATCAAGCGCCGCCTACGACGCTCCACCGATGCTATAATTTTGCTGCCCGCGCTCAATTTCGCCGAAGATGCAAATCAGCAGAGTTTCAGCGACGAGGAGCTGGATGCTGATGAAGACAGTGTGCGTGTGGCGCGCCATGCAGTTGGCCAGAGTAACAGCGAGAACGCGAATGCTTTGAGCGCCAGTACTACAACGCAAACTGAAGCGCTGGGCCAGGAGGCAGTCTCTTCATCCCAAGCGACTTCATCTGATTCGTCCTCCGCCTCCACAGCGGTTTCTGTTTCTACATCAGCTGCTGTTGCTTCATCCTCTGCTGCGCTCTCCACCTCGTCGCTCGAGGACTTTACTTTTTCTTCTCCTGCTTCTGATACGCCACACAGCGCCACCTATCGCAATTCTACTACAATAGCAAATCGCCATGTCGCCAGCATCCTTAAGCCGATCCAATATGTGCCGCTTAAGTCTAAGCGCGCACGCTCTGCCGTCAGCGTTATTTTGCCCGCCGAGGTGCTTCGTAAGCCGAAGGAACCGATTATAATTATCGACGATGTGGAAGAGTTTGATAGTGGCACCGATCGTGAACGCGATTTGGCCGCCATGGCGACTGTTGATGACAAAAGCGAAGATTACTCGCACGATGAGCCGATGGAACCGCGAGTGTTGCCACTACGCCCGGTGTTGCCAAATCCCTATGAAGATGAGGAAATGTCTGTTGTGTATGCGGAGCAGCATTCAGAGATACGATTGATGTGCGAAGTGGATTTGGATATAGCGTCGAGCACGTGGTACAAAAATGGGCAGGTGAGTTGAAAAATTTATATAAAGAGGAATGAATAAAAAACGATGGTCTCATTGAGTTGAATCTAGAATGCACTTCTGGTGAATTTTAAATAATTGTAGAGAAGTGCTTTGCACAGCTTCAGCTGTTCATCACAAAACTATTTATAATGACAGATCTAAAAATCAACAGACGATCCTACTTAATAGTTTTGTTTGTATTCAGTATCTATTAAAATTTAAGTAACCAGTATTCAGCGCTAGAACACTAAAATTCAGCATCTCAATTTGTTAAACTCTCTCGCAACCCTCTGCTCTTTTTTTGGAGTAACAAAATCTTTAATTCAGCAATTTTTGAACCAATTCAGCGCTCGCAGAGTAAACGTCTATTTCCCAAGAATAATATTTCAAGTGTTACCATCACTAAACTAGTGCAAATCAGCTGTTTTTAGTTCAATTCAGCGCTTGCCTGAAAAACTTTATACTTTCTTTTACATAAAACTTTTACGCTTTTACTTAACTCTACAGTATGCTTATATGAGCAACGTTAAAGTAGATTATTCCTCTGCTTGAACTTCTGGGATTATAATTTTTTGTGTGTATTCAGCTGAAAATAAATAAAAAATCAATTCAGCGCACTTATAATCAATTCAGCCCTAACTTTCGATGAAACATAAGGCAAACTCTAGTCCCTGGAGAGAAACTAAGCATTTACATTTTGTGTTTAAGGCCATTGTGCTTAATTCAGCGCAGTTTCCTGGCTTTATTCCCTATTTTGTCCAATAAATTTTCCACAATGACTCAGTTTTTGCAATTTAGCTGCATTTTTTTACAACTCGGCGTTATTAAGTGCAATTCAGCGGTATAATTTTTATTTTTCGATGGAAATTTTCCATGAACTTATATTTGATAAGAATTTTTTAGATACGAAACTCCATTTTTACAGTTTATTTTTGGTAATTTACTGCCCCTACGCCTAATTATGCACTTGTATTAGGCTTTTCTTCTTGTTAGTTGCACGCCGTTTGTTTCAAAAACTGTTGATTTTGTAACTTGCATGCACTAACTACAATTCAGCGCTAGTAATTACTATTCAGCGTCACATATTCCAGCTTCGGAGGGTAAGTTTCTAAGTTTTTAGTTCGAATAACAATTTTCGCAGCTGCAGACCTTAATTTTATACAATTCAGCGCACCTGTTTCTTGTTTTACATTTTCAAACAAAAATTTCAATAATTTCATTGTCCTTACTTCCGATCGCCCACGTCTACCATTTTGCAAATAAGCGCTTTTTCTTTTTTAACCTTTTTCATATACTGAATATTTTCTTGCATACTTTACGGCGTTTATACACTTTTCATAACCCAAAAAACATATCTAAAAGCCATGCTTGCAATTCACAACAATTTCTACTAAAGACCCCCAGCCCATCAAAAATCACCCACCAAATAAAAAATTTCCATTAGTTTTCAACAACTCAACAAGAATTATGATTGAGTTATAATTGTTGCAACTTACGTGTGGCAAAAAAAAAACAAAATGTATACAATGTTTGTCATAAAAAGAAAAAAATTGCATAACAATTACTACAAATAAAAAATAAACACAGTCAGCATTGCATACTTTTTGGCGCTGCAACGAAGCGTAAATACAATTACAGTGTGGTGGCTGACAGTTACAGCAATGAATGCAGTGCGTAATTTTTGCTACTTTTTTTTCTGTGTTAGTTTTAAAAAGTTTGTGCAGTGGGAAAAAACGCAAACACAAAAGCAAAAAGCAAAAGCAACTAAATAGTAAGTGGCGTTACAAAAGCAAAATGGCCTGCAAAAAAATAGTCTCGCAAAAAAGTGGCGCCCAACGAATTGGCAACGCACGGCAAATTGTCGAAATACAAAATAATAATGACGCAGGTGGGCGAAAGGTGATGCAACTTGCTCTCGGTGGCTCACTGTAGCCCTGTCATCCAGTAGCAGCGGCAACTCCAGCTTCACGATGCCATTTACCTTTGTGCCATTTGGCAAATGGTCAGTTGGCAGCGTATAGCTTTTATGCTTTTCATAAATTTTTTTTGTTGTTATAATGTATTATTTACTTTTTTGGCTACTTTTGGTAGTTATAATAACTTTAT